CTTTGAGAAGCACAAGTCTTCTGCAGCTGACAAGCCCTGCCACCCACAGATCCACACACACTGTCAACACAACACAGTCCTGGCCTGTGTGTGCGCCCCAACCTCCTGAAGTGGAACCCCTCTCTCCACGGTGGGAACCCCACACACTCCACCACTGCCCCACACTCTCCACACACTCCTTGTGCATGCCCTGCCCCTCTGTATCGGTGTCAGTTGCCAGGCTGCAGAGAATCCAGTCACCAGTCTATGTAGGTCCACAAGTTGCCTGAGGGCTGGTTGTTGGGTGGGGCCAGTCTCTAGGGTGGGCTGTCTGCCCTGGCTGAGCTGGATTAAATTGGTGCTCTAGTGGGTGGGGCAGACCCTGGCTAGCAGGCCCTAGGGAGAACTCCAATGGCGTCTGTGTCAGCATGCCCACACCAGGCCACAGCAATGGCCGCCACCCATGTCCCAGTCCCTGGAGAGGTCTCACCTCTCACCCAGATGCACTCAGGACCTATCAGGTGAGTCTCTTTTCACCAATGCACTGTTCACCTTTCTTTCTGGTGATTTTAGGTTGCTTTCTGAAACGGGTGTGTTTGTGCCTGGGCCTTTTAAGAGCTGGTTTTAATGTCTGTGTGAACCGGGTTTTCTGGGGGTACTCCCCAATGTTTTAGTAGCAGGCAAAGTCATATATTATGCAACTCATCTCGATTGTGCTGGGTCCACAGAATGCCCACAGCGGGTCACTGCCCGGCTCAGTGACTTGCTTCTCCAGGGAGGCTGTGTACCTTTGAGCTGCTCCTGGGGGGCTGTGAGGCTCTGCGGCTTGTGAAGGTGGCACTCCTTCTCCAGAAGTGAGTTTCTGCCGTTTCCACCTCAATTAGGATTTTCCTTTGTTGCAGGAGTTCCTCTTATCCAGCTTTTAGTTCTGTCTCAGGGGCAACTTTTCCATGAGTAGTTGTAAATTGGCTGTGTCTGCGGGAGGAGGTGAGTTCAGAGTCTGCTTACGCCACCATCTTGACTTCTCCCTTTCGGCCTTCTCACAAGTTTTATTGTGGCTGTTCTCAGCTTTGTGCTCATCTGTGGTACTGCAACATCTTAACTGGATTCTGAAAATCTCATAAAATAATTTTAGTCCATTTGTCACTACTTAATCAGTGTTTGTATGGGGGAAAAGTGCTAGAACTTCCTATTCCACAATCTTCCTGTTGTCACTCAGCCACAATACTTTTGATTAAATTCATCTTTAGTTATATCTATAGATGTGAATTTTGAATCTCTTTACATAAAATGATATTTTATCAATCATTTATTTCATAAATTCCCTATCAAAAAATAAAATTTTTCCTTTAATGTAATTTCTTTACCAGAAATACGATAAACTTGATTTAAATGATTGGAAAAAATTAAAATTTATTAAAACATACTATTCTATTGCTGGCTGTACAGAACAATATCCAAGAAGTATCCATAGGTCAGCTTTGCCCAAATAAGTTAAGTTTTGATGGTGATTGGAAATATTGTACATTTACTTCCTAAGGAGGGATTTTTTTTTTTAATATTGAAATGCAAATATAAAAGAACCCCTTTTATCAATTTACCTTTTTTGTTTGACTGCCTGGGCTTCATGCTTGACATAAAACTTTCTCATTTTATTTTTATTTTAGACAAAAATTCCATCTTATAATAACTGTTTGTTCATATTAGTTTTTCTTCTCATACAACATGGATGTTTTCTCCTTTTTTACACTTATTCCTTCAAATACGTGAATTCACCCACAGTCTCTCTGTTTGGCTTCCCCCTACTGATTCTACACATGATTCTTTCAACTATTCATTATAGATAAAACATTTCGAGGTCCCTAACTATTCTCTCTCTTTCTGTATGTATTTTCTACAGGCTTTGCAGAGATGATATTCAGCACTGATAACTTTAGTTATTCAATGATTTAAAAATGGCCTCTTTAGAAAAATAGCCAGCTTACTAGCCTATGTAGAATAATAACCAATCTACCCATATTTTTGGAATCTCTTTGAGCTCAAATTACAGAAAAAACTGTTGAAACAAAAACAAAAACTAAAAATGACCTCTTTAATTGTTTTTTTTTTCTTTGTCCCTGCCAATTAACAGATACCTTGGGTGAAAAGGATACAAATAAAGGCAGTGGATGTGAATTGAATGTTTAAAAAAGATACATTATTTAAGTAGCTAGGTTGAAATGGTCTACACATGTAAAGGTAAAAGTGATGTGTTGATTTTATGCATGTTGAATATTTTGCTGTTAAAGGAATGTGTAGGTAAGATATTGCTTTAGAGTTTTTAAAATTATCTTTACCTGTTATCTCAAAGACAAATTGTTTCATATGTACATTTTAACGATGTTTTAAAATTGTTTCTGATTCTTAGCTACACCCTGTGATCCCACTTTTATCCTGGGCTGTGCTCCCTGCAATGTGATCTGCTCCATTATTTTCCACAACCGTTTTGATTATACAGATGAGAATTTTCTAAACATAGTGGAAATATTTGACGAAAATGTCAAGATTATCAGTTCCCCATGGATGCAGGTGAGGCCAAGACTCTTTTTTCTTGAGGAATAATGTATGCTTTTTTTCTTCAAGAATTCCAAATCTATACTTATACCAAGCTGTGAAGTGAATATGTGAACACTACAGTTCTACCCAGAGCTTAGTGTCATGGTGTGAATATGTGATAAAGATGGCTGAGCCCTCTAATGATAGACAGGAATATACATATCCAGAATACAGAACTGGAATTCAATCCCATTGACCCTGTCCAGTGGTTTTCCCACTAAATTCCAAAGCCCAGTTTCCATAAAGTACTTTGGTAACTTCCCTAAAGCATGCCCATGACACTAAATGGACTTCCAGGCCCTTCTGGAAAGGTTTCCATTACACACAAGTATTCTCATTCAGTCAACACTTAGTTACTTCATCATCACATTAATTGGCAGCAGTGCCCGCATTTATGAAGGAAGAGAATATCTCTTTCAAAGAGGGAGAACGTTTGGGACCACAAATGCTAGTAGGGAACACTGACTAGGGTAAAAGTGTTTGATGCTTCAGCTGGCATCCTAACTGACAAGGTGATTGTTTTGGGGATGAGAAAATGTCCGGTTTTATATTACATGAATCATAAACCAACATCACAGTTTTACTTGTGCTGAGAGGATATGTTCTGCATTTGGCCTAAAAGATAATTGTGGGATCTTAGAGAAGTCACTTAACTGCTCTGGTACACAGTTACTTTATAATAAAAGGATGAGTTATGTGTGGCATTTACAAAGTGTGAATAATAACTTTTCATGCCATCTCAAATTTCAAAACTGTAGGGAAGAATTGATGTAAAAAGTGAGAGAATTGAAATAAAGATGTTTTTATACTACAGACATAATGTATGAATATAGGGAATATTTATCATCTTTGATCCTTTGGTCAGAATTTTCTCCCTCAAATACATCTGTCAGCATAGAAAATTATATATTTGTCAAATAAAAGTTTCCCTTCAAGACAGAGACCATGTTTTATTAATATTTATAGTGCAGTTTCTAACCAGGGCTTGGCATATGGTATACAAATCTTCATTAAATGTCTTTTATTTAATAAGCTATTGTTTTCTATTCCAGCTCTGCAATAGTTTCCCTATGGTCCTTGATTATTTCCCAGGGAGTCACAAAAAATTATTTAAAAATGTTGCTTATGTAAAAAGTTATGTTTTAGAGAAAGCAAAGGAACACCAAGCATCTCTGGACATTAACAATCCTCGAGACTTTATTGATTGTTTCCTGATCAAAATGGAGCAGGTAAAATGTTAATGACAGCTCAGTTATTTGATTTTTGTGCATTTTGTGGTTCATTAAATAGTTCTCTATTTACCAGGTAGGGTTCAATGGTCAGTCAAATAATGCTGACAGGCATTTTATTTTATTTTTATTTTTTTTATTGGGGTAACATTGGTTTATAACATTATATAAATTTCAGGTGTACATCATTATATTTTGATTTCTGTATAGATTACATCATATTCACCACCCAAAAACTAATTAAATCCATCACCACACACATGTGCCTAATCATCCCTTTCGCCCTCCTCCCTCTCCACTTCCCCTCTGGTAACCACCAATCCAATCTCTGTCTCTTTGTGATTGTTTGTTGTTGTTTTTATCTTCTACTTAGAAGTGAGATCATATGGTGTTTGACTTTCTCCCTCTGACTTATTTCGCTTAGAATAATACCCTCAAAGTTAATCCACATTGTCACAAATGGCTGGATTTCATAGTTTCTTATGGCTGAGTAGTATTCCTTTGTGTGTATATACCACATCTTCTTTATCCATTAGGCCCTTGATGGGCACCTAGGTTGCTTCTAAGTCTTGGCTACTGTGAATAATACTGCAATGAACATAGGAGTGCATGTATCTTTACACTTTCATGTTTTCAAGTTCTTTGGATAAATACTCAGCAGTGGAATAGCTTGATGGTATGGCAGATCTATTCTTAAATTTTGAGGACTCTCCATACTGTTTTCCATACTGGCTACACCAGTTTGCACTCCCACCAGCAGTGTATGAGAGTTCCCTTCTCTCCACATCCTCTCCAACACTTGCTGTTTCCTATCTTGTTAATTACAGCCATTCTGATGGGCATGAGGTGATATCTCATTGTAGTTTTCATTTGCATTCCCTGATAGTTAATGATGTGGAACATCTTTTCACATGCCTGTTGGCCATCTGAATATGTTCTTTGGATAAATATCTGTTCAGATCTTTTGTCCATTTTTTAATTGGGTTGTTCATTTTTCTGTTGTTGAGATGTATGAGCTCTTTATATATTTTGGATATTAACCCCCTTATCAGATGTATGGTTTGCAAATGTCTTCTTCCAATTGTTGGGTAGTCTTTTCGTTTTGTTGATGGTTTCCTTTGCTGTGCAGAAGCTTTTTAGTTTGATGTAGTCCCATTTGTTTATTTTTTCTATTGTTTCCCTTGCCCGGTCAGACATGGTACTTGAAAATATGTTGCTAAGACCGATGTCGAAGAGCGTATTGCCTGTATTTCTTCCAGAAGTTTCATGGTTTCTGGTCTTACATTCAAGTCTTTTATCCATTTTGAGTTAATTTTTGTGTACGGTGTAAAATAATGGTATTCTTTTGCCTATGGCTGTCCAGTTTCCCCAACACCATTTACTGAAGAGTCTTTCCTTTCTCCATTGTATGTTCTTGGCTCCCTTGTCAAATGACAAGCATTTTAAGTAACCGTTGTATGCATGAATCTACTCTAAGCATTATGGAAGGTATAAGATTAAATAGTTAGATTACTTTAGGAAGTATTGTCATCTTAACAATATTATATCTTCCAATACTTGCATATGGGATGGTTTTCCATTTATTTAGATATTCTTTATTTCCTTTGGCAATGGTTTTTAGTTTTCAGTGTACAAGCCTTTCACCTCCTTTGTTAAATAGATTATTAGTTATTTATGTTTTTGGATGCTACTGTAAACGAAATTGTTTCCTTAGTTTCATTTTGAGATTATCTTTGCTGGTGTAGAGACACAACTGATTTTTGCAGTTGTGTTGAATTCATTTATTATCTCTAGTAATTTTTTGTGGATTCTATGGAATTTTCTATATATAGAATCATGTTATCTGCAAACAGACATAGCTTTACTTCTGCCTATCCAAATTGGATGCCTTTTATTTCTTCTTCTTTTGCCTAATTTCTCTGGCTAGATCTTCCACTACTATTCAAAAAATAAGAATTTTTCCCCAAGCTTTATTGAGGTACAATTGACAAATAAATATTGTATGTTTTTAAAGCGTACAACATATGGTTTTCATATACATATACTGGAGCATATGCTCAGCAGCTGAGTGGAGATGCTGACTTGCTTCACTGCCCAGGCGGGCCTTAGAGTGTGCTCTGAGGCTTCTGGGAATCTGTGGACAGGCTTCCCAGTTGAGTGAGGCTGAAGGCTATGCTTAGCAGTTGGGCAGGACTTTGAACTTCCTTCCCTGCCTGAGTGGGCCATAAGAAGTGCTCCACAGCTACTAGGTACTTGTGGTGAGGATTCTTGGTAGGGCAATGGCTGGAGAGTATCTTGTGCAATTGGGTGGGGCGGTGAACTTTCTTCCCTGCCTGGATGGGCTGTAGCATGTGCTCTGAGGCTGCTGGACATCTGTGTCCACACTTCTCAATGGGGTGGGACTAGATATTATGCTTTGCAGTCGGGCGGGACTGCAAATTTACTTCCTTGCCTGGACAGGCCATAGGATATGCTCTGCAGCTGAGTATCTATGGCCAGGCTTCCCAGTGGGGCAGGACTGTGAATTTGTTTCCCTGCCTACTTGGAACTGAAGAATGGGCTCCATGGCTGGTATATCCCATTGGCTGGGACCCAAATCAGGCAGAACTGCCAACCAAGATCCTTGGCCAATTTTCACCACCAACTTGGCTCTATGGATGGGCAGACCCCCTGGTTGGGATCTCCACTTTGGCACTGCTCAGGTCAGCATGTAGTCTGCCAAGATCTGAATGCTGGTTAGTTTAAGTCCAGCCCCTTCTTGGTCTCTGTCTTATCCACAGTTGTCAAGCCCTGTAGATTCCCCCAGAGATTCCTGTGAGTTGAGACCCATGTGGGCCTCCTGGGAAGTGTCTCACAATGCTAAGGAAGTTGATTGTCCACCTTGGGCATCTTTAGCCCACTGGAGAAACTAAAGGCCCTGTTGATGTGCCACTGTGCTGATCTTGAGGAGGGTCAAAGTGAAACTGCCCCTCTTACCTTCTAATGCAGTTATTCCCTGTCTCTGTGGTCCAGGGGGGGAGCTTCAGCCTCACTCTCGGATCCTGGGATTTTCACTATGATGTCTTGTCTATGGATGGTTGCTAGTTGGCCTTCACGTGAGGCAGACTGTACTTGGGAACAAGCTATGTTGCCACTTTGATGACATAACCTATCATTTTTCTTACTGTAGGCATTTATTGCTATAAACTTTCGTCTTAAAACTGCTTTTGCTGTATTCCAATAATTTTGGAGTGCTGTGTTTCTATTGTTATTAGTCTCAAGACACTTTTTGATTTCTCTTTTGATTTCTTCTTTGACCATTGGTTGTTCAGGAATGTGTTGTTTAATTTCCACATATTTGTGAATTTTCCAATTTTCCTCTTATTATTGATTTCTAGTTTCATACCAATGTGGTTGGACAAGATACTTGATAGACTTCAATCTTATTAAATTTGTGAAAACTTGCTTTTTTCCCTAATATGATCTATTCTGAAGAATGTTCTGTTTACACTTAAGAAGAATGTGTAGTCTAGTACTGTTTGCACTTAAGAAGAATGTGTATTCTACTACTATTATTCATTTTCTGTCTAGATGATCTGTCGTTATTGAATGTGTGGTATTGAATTCCCTTTCTATTATGGTATTGCTGTCTATTTATCCCTTCACATCTGTGAGTGTTCCTCAATATATTTAAGTGCTCTGATGTTGGGTGCATATATATTTACAATTGTTATATCCTTTTGATGAATTGATCCCTTTATCATTATATAATGACCTTTTTTGTCTCTTGAAACAGTTTTTGACCAAAAGTCTATTTTGTATGTTGTGTGAATAGCCTTTCCTGCTCTCTTTTGGTTACCATTTACATGGAATATCTTTTTCCATTCTTTCACTTACAGCCTATATGTGTCTTTTTTTAGCTTTATCTAAAGTAGTCTCTTATAGGCAGTGTATGGTTGGATCTTGTTATCCATTCAGCCAATGTATGTCTTTTGAGTGGGGATTTTAATCCATTTACATTTAAAATAATTATTGATAGTTAAAAACTTATTGTTGCCATTAAAATGTTGTTGGCTCACTGTTTTTTCCTTCCTTTTTTCCTTTCTTCTTTTCTTGCTGTCTTCTGTTGTGATTTGATGATTTTTATGTAGTTATATGCTTTTATTCCTTTATATATTGTGTATCTAATACAGGTTTATTATTTGTGTATACTTTGAGGCTTACATGAAAAAAAAATCTTATAGTTATAACAGTCTATTTTAAGCTGATAACAACTTAAATTCAATCACATACAAAAATTCTACACTTTTAATTCTCCCCGCTTCCACACTTTATGTTATTGATGTCACAATTTACATCTTTTGATGTTGTGTGTCCACTAACTCACTATTGTAGTGATGGTTAATTTTAATACTGCTGTCTTTTAACTTTTATACTGGAGTTGAAAGTGATTCACATACCACCATTACAGTATTGGAGTATATTCTGTATTTGACTCTATGTTTACCTTTACCAATGAGTTTTATAGTTTCATATGTTTTCATGCTGATATTTAGCATCCTTTATTTTCAATTTGAAGAGCTTCTTTTAGCATTTTCTTATAAGGCAGATCTAGTGGTGATGGACTCTCTCAGCTTGTTTGTCTGGGAGACTCTTGATCTCTCCTTCATTTATGAAGAGCCATTTAGCCAAGTGTAGTGTTCTTGCTTGTAAGTTTTTCTCTTTCAGCACTTTAAATATATCATCCCACTCTCTCCTGGTCTGCAAAGTTTCTGCTGAGAAATCTGCCGACAGTGTTATGGGGGCTCCACGGTATGTGATATGTCATGTTTTTCTTGCTGTTTTCAATATTCTCTCTTTGTCTTGGACTTTTGACAGTTTGATTATAATGTGTCTTGGTGTATAGCTCTTTGAATTCAATCTACTTGGATTCCTTTGTGTTTCATGAATTTGGATGTTGATTTTCCTCCCCAGATTTGGAAAGTTTTAAGCTATTAGTTCTTTAAATACGCTTTCTGCCTTTACTCTCTCTTCTCCTCTGTGACTCTCATAATGTGTTTACTGGTTTCCTCAGTAGGAACTCTTAAGTCAGACTTTCCTCACTCCTTTCCATTCTTTTTTTTTTTTTCTCTGATTGAATAATTTCAAATGACTTTATTCAAGTTCACTGGTTTATTTCCTCTGCTTGATCATATATGTTTTCGAATCCCTCCAGTGAATTTTTCACTTCAGTATTCTTCGCTTCTAGCATTTCTGTTTGTTTTGTTTATTTTTATATCACTTTTTTGGACTTCTCTTTTCTCTCAGTTTTACTATTATATGCCTTGGAGAAGATTTTTTACCATTGATATAATTAGGAGTTCTATTGGATTCATGTATTTATACGTCTGGTTCCTTCCCTAGGTTTTGGAAATTCTCAGCTATTATTTGACCAAGCTCTCTGATCCTTTCTCCCTCTCTTCTGTGTCTGGATTACCTATAATCCTTATGTTGCTTTTCCTAATTGAGTCAGATATTTCTCAAAGAATTCCTTCATTATTTTAAAATCTTAGTTCTCTCTCCTCCTCCACCTGAAGCATTTCTATATTTCTATCCTCTAAATCACTAATTATCTCCTCCTTAGTATCAGCTTTATTTTGTAAGGATTAGAGATTATTTTTTATCTCATTGACTGTGTTCTTCATATCCAGAATTTCTGCTTGGATTTTTTTTATAGTTTCAATCTCTTTGGTGAAGTATTCCTTCTGTTCGTTAATTTTATTCCTGAGCTTGTTGAACTGTCTGAGTTTTCTTGCAACTCGTTGAGTTTCTTAGTGACAGTTATTTTCAATTTCTGTCACTTAGATTATAAATTTCTGTGACTTCAGGGTTGATTTCTCGAGATTTATCCTTTTCCTTCTGCTCTAAATTGTTGCTGTAGTTCCTCATGGTGATTGATGAACTAATCTTTTGCTGGTGCATTTGTGGTAGTATCAGGTCGTGCATTCCACCTGCTACCACTGGGGGAAGCAGGAGCTGTGTTTCTGATCCCACCCCATGTGCTGGAAGTTGTGTAGGTACCATGGGTGCTCCCATCAGCTGGGAAAGCGTTTACATGCATTGCTATATTGGCCACCACCTCTTTTTATGGTCACGCCAGTCACTGTGTTTGATAGGCATGGCTGCTTCATGGGGTCCAAGTCTGGGACACTCATTGGGACTGCAGCAGCAGGGTGGGCTCTCCCCGGGGGCGGAAAAGCATTCACATGGGGACCCAGGGCTGCCGCTGCCCCCTCCCACAGTTTCACCAAGGTGTGTTCCCACTTTCAGGACCACAGCAGGACTATGGGGACTTGTGCCAGCTTGGAAAGTGTTTGGACGTATGCAGGGGGCTGCTGGGGAAGGAAAAGGGAGTGTTCACGTATCTCCACTGCCTTCTGGGAAGCCAGTGCATCCACCTTCAGATTTATAGCTGCGTGGGTCTCTCAGGCATCCTGTTGTGCTGTGTGGGTATCCTCCATTGGTCAATGAATGTCCATTTAGTTGTAGTTCAAAGGAGGAGAGATTAAGGGAATAGCTCACTCTGCCATGTTGCTGACATCACCCCTCTCTTTGGCTTTTCTCGTAGGGAAGATCTATTAATGAGGAACCCCTCAGCCTTTGTTTATTTGGGGAATGCCTTAATTTCTCTGTTATTATGGAGTAATAGTGTAGTGCCAGATATAAAATTGTTGATTGGCATATTTTCTTTCAAGACTTTACATACACTCGTATCTGGCCTCCATAGTTTCAGAAAAAATCATGTATTACTCCTATTGATGATCCTTTGTACATAATGACTCCCTTCTCTCCTGATTTTTTTTTTTTTTGAGGAAGATCAGCCCTGAGCTAACATCTGCCAATCCTCCTCTTTTTGCTGAGGAAGACTGGCCCTGGGCTAACATCCATGCCCATCTTCCTCCACTTTATATGGGACACCGTCACAGCAAGGCTTGCCAAGCAGGGAGTCGGTGCACGCCCGGGATCCGAACCGTTGAATCCCGGGCTGCCACAGCAGAGCGTGCGCACTTTAACCACTCGTGCCACCGAGCTGGCCACATCTCTTGATGTTTTAAACATTCTCTCTGTCTTTGTCTTTTGATAATTTGATTAAAATAAGCCTTGGTGTGGGTATTTTTGTGTTTAACCTTCTTTGAGTTTGTTCAGCTTCTTGCATGTATAGATTCACAGCTTTCATTAAATTCAGAAGTCTTCAGCCATTCTTTCTCCAAATGTTCTTTTCTGCTCCTTTTCTCTCTGCTCTCTGAGACTTCCATAAAGTAGATGTTGATACACTTGATTGAGTTCCATAGATTCCTTAGGCTCTGTTCATTTTTCTTCATCCCTTTTTCTTCCTGATGTTCAGACTGGATAATTTCTGTTGTCCTGTCTTCAAGTTTTCTCTTTCTTTCCTGGGCCTTCTCAAGTGCACAATTAAAACTTGCTGGTGATTTTTCTTAAATTTCAAGTATTGGAATTTTTAGCTCTAGAATTTCTATTTGGTTCCTTTTTATAATTTCTTTCTCATTGTTGATATCCCCTACTTGTTCATACATTTTTCTGATTTTCTTTAGTTGTTTGTACATCATTTCCTTCATCTCTTTGTGTGTATTGAAGACATAAATATTAGAGTTTTTATCTAGTAAGTCCAATGTCTGGGTTTCCCCAGGAATCATTTGTATCAACTTTTTTTTTTACCTGTTAATGGGCTATACGTATCTGTTTCTTTGTTTGCCTTTATTTTTTTTGTTGCTGTTGAGAACAAAGCATTTAATATATTGTAATGTGGTAACTCTGGAAATAAGATTTTTTCCTGTCTCAGCAATTGCTGTTGTTGCTTGATGAAGACTGCACTCATCCGTTTGTTTAGTAACTTTTCCAAATATTCTTTACCAAGACTATTTTTCTCATCCTGTGTGGTAACTTGACTCTCTGTTCTGTAATCTCCATGGTCAAGTAGTGACCATATAGATTCTCTTAAATACCTGAATCTAAAAAGAAAAGAAAGGAAAAGTCATTCTGTTTTTTATCTTCTCAGTGAAAACTGTTGGGGAAGGTTCTTGAGCCTGGGGAGATTGAAACAATGACTCTTTTCTGTGCCAACCTCTTAGTGATCAAAATATACAACCCTGATGATTGAAGAACATGGGATCTCTTGCCTATGGAACTTTTAAGCGAACAAGGGATAAAACAGTAGAAAATTATGTTTGTGTCAGCTGATCTACAGTCTCTTGCCATACCATATAGTAGTTTTATCTAATGTTGCACCCTGCGGTTTATATGTTGGCTTAATCTTATAACAATGAGTTATTTTGGATTAAATGTAATTCTGGCAAATTAATTTGCCCAATAATTTTATCAAATCATTCCTAGGAAAAGCAAAATCAGCAGTCAGAGTTTACCTTGGAAAATTTGACAGTCACTGCATTTGATTTGTTTGGAGCTGGGACAGAGACAACAAGCACTACCCTGAGATATGCTCTCCTCCTCCTGCTGAAGCACCCAGAGGTCACAGGTATAACCAAAATGGTGGAAAGTGTGAATTTCAGAAAATATGTTGGTAAAACACTGCAAGTACGTTCCATCTTGTTTTGCTTAGAGAAGCTTCATTATTTAAATATCTGTTCAACCAGCTTAATTTTTCCCAACTTAAAGAAGGGATGATAATGGGACATCTTCATGTAATAAAGAAGGATGAAAGAGAGGAGTGAAGACACCATGGGCATTAGCAAAAGCAATAAAGCAGTGTCTGGATTTCATAAGAGGTTACTTGTGGCCGTCACAGACAGCATGAATTGGCATGGGACTACATATTTGTTTCATTACAAAAGGTCACTTTCAACAGTAGGTATATTCTTGCAGAGATCTCCTTATTCTGAAAATACAGTATTCTAAAGCCAGGATAAAAAAATGGAAACTCCCTATTGAAGCATAAGTGGACATCCTAGAGATTTAGTGAGGCTTCCTGAGATAATTTGCACAGTCTAGGAAGTGTTCCAATAATTTAGATTCACAAGAAATATTTTACTATTCAGGCTTAAAATGTGCATAAAGGAATTTTGTTATTCCAGAAGTCTGTTTCCAGAAAAGTTGTGTTAAAATAAGATTTTGTGGGATCAACAATTTTGTCTTTTACAAAGAACTTTATGTTAGAATTTTACCTTTAAAGAGTTATGGTTATGCATAACAGTTTAGAAACATATATTATCTTTTCCTGTGTCAGGATCCCAATGAAAATACTATAACCTATTACACGTGAGATTGAGTCTTTTAAAGTTGTAACAAAGGAGGTGAGGAAACAGCCAACAAATCTTCAAAAATTTTATGAAACACAGACAGCATATTGAGGGGTGAAAATGAACTCTGTGGAGAGGATGAAATTGTAACCTAAATGTCAGAAGGGGAAACTATAAAATGAGAAAAAGTCATTTCTGTCCTTACATCTCTCTAACATTCAGCATTTGGAAGTACCAAGTGTCAAAGAAGATAGAGGGAGAAATAGGCTGTAAAAAGGTAGCTTTCTCTGCCCAGGTCCCCTTGACAACTCCTTTTATCAGGTAACTGTTTTTACCCAAAAGGATGTGGGAGGTTTACTCTCCAGAGGACATGAACCTAAGAGGCCCTACGCTCACGGACGGTGGGCAGTGACAGGGAAGGAGTGAGCTGTAGGGCTGACAAGAAAGGTTAGGTAAGAATCTACTTCTTGAATTCAGAGGCTCTTAGCTCCTTTTTCCACCTTGCTTCCTGAAATTCAGCAGCCAGATAAAGAGTGAACAGCTCTGGAGAAGGAAAAAAAAAAAAACCTGCATATTTTGTCATGCAGATAGAAAATTCTCTTGATATATAAGCAGAATGAATGAAATAAAAACATCCATCCCAGGCACAGGGTCATGAAATTTCAGAATACCAGAATTAGAGAGAAAATCACCAAAACTTTCAGAGAAATACACCAAGTCATATATAAGAATTAAGATTCAGAACAGCATCAGAATTCTCAGGAGCAACTATGAAATTGTGTCTTAATAAAAAGAAGTATTTTCAGACCTGTATGTTTGACAAAATTTTTACTCCCTCTTTTCCCTTTCTCATCCAAATGTCTGAAGTCATGTCAGAGGAAGTCATGGGCTTAAGGATTCAGGAGGACTCATGAAGGAGAATGAAAGTGTCAGGGAAGTTGCTAGACACCAGGCCTAGAAAATATCAATTTCAAAATGGATCAGATGGATAAAGCAGGTGTGAGGGGAGACACCAAGAACAAAAGAGAAGTGATGAATTATCTGAGATGCCCTAGTAATAGAGACGTTATTATTAAGAGTTGGAAACATCTACCTCAGTATTTGGAAATAATTCTAAATCGAGATATAGACAGTTAAGAATTGCACTAAAGAGACATGGATAAGTCCAAGAAAGTACCCAAAATGAAATAAAATCATAGTTGTTTTACCAGCAAGCATTGTTTATGTAGTCAGAATGATGTCAAAATGAATATTTTAACAGCCAAAAATTGAGGTCTAAATATATTAGGGGAAAGGGAGTGAGGGGAATTGTGTGTGGCTCTGTGGGTATTTTGTATGAGGTAGGGGTGGAGATGTAAATTCTTACTTCCCATGCCAGGAAATCAGATATTGTCTAAAAATAGGTAAGCAAGAAATAGAAACAGAGAGTCATTATTTAGAAATAGACATAGAGACAGAGATTGGATTGGTGGTTACCAGAGGGGAAGGGGGGAGGGGGGAAGGCGAAAGGGATAATTCGGCACATGTGTGTGGTGATGGGTTGTAATTAGTATTTGGGTGGTGAACATGATGTAATCTATGCAGAAATAGAAGTATAATGATGTACACCTGAAATTTATGCAATGTTATAAACCAATGTTACTGCAATAAATAAAAAATTTAAAAAATAAATAAATAAATAAAAAAGAAATAGAACATAAATTTCAGAAGACAGTGCTAGAATCTTCAAAGTGGTAGCATTTGGCGAGTTGGAGTATGAAGACAGCACCATTGCAAATTACACACACATACACCCACACAAATACATAAAACACATACATTATAATTTATTTTTTTAACCCATGTATTATTTTTATATAAATTAATGTTTTATTTCTGTTTTTCTTTCTGCAGGGACTGTAACTTCTTGACTTAATTATGTTCTGTTTATATTTTGAAACATTTCATCATTTCTGTTTGTATTATCATGTATGCTGATATATACATATGTATAGATGGATTTTATGCCTAGCTTGTAGGAGAGTTTTATGTCTCTATATTATGGCAATTATGTCTCTATGTCTAGATGTATTCCTGGGCATATAACTCATGTTTATAATGATGTTTACAATGATGTTGGGACACCTTCTTAGTGCTTCAGGTATCCCTGAATTGACAGGAAAATGTGCCGGGCATTTTTCTCTTTTGCCATCAGTCTTACTTGTGTCTTATCAGCTAAAGTCCAGAAAGAGATTGACCATGTGATTGGCAGACACCGGAGCCCCTGCATGCAGGATAAGAGCCATATGCCCTACATGGATGCTGTGGTACATGAGATCCAAAGATACATTGACCTCATCCCTACCAACCTGCCCCATGCAGTGACTCGTGACATTAAATTCAGAAACTACCTCATCCCCAAGGTGAGATTTGTTTCTCTTATACTGATCTCAGTGGTCTTGAGGTCCCATTTTTACAGTATGGGTCAAGTCCTCTATGAACACAAGATGAGAGAAGTACAAAAGTCATAATGTGTAAGCTTGATGGATTTGGTGTTGCTTTCAGTTTAGAATGTAAAGCTTTATAACAGGTTTTGAGAGCTGGCAGTGTAAGTCTTCTACATTTGTTCTTCTTTAATATTGTTTAGCTAATCTTAGCTGTTTACATTTCCAAATGAATCTTAGTATCAGTGTGTCAATTTACCAAAACTGCTGAAATTTATATCAAGGTGACATTAGATCAATTTGGAAAAACTTAACATCATGATATGTTGGATCTTTCAGTTAATGGATAGAGTATATGCTCCCAATTTGGGGGAGCTCTCTTTAATTTTATCAATAATTTTTTTCAGTGCATTGGTTTTCAAATCTTTTATTTGGTTTTTCCTAGATACTTAATATTATTGTTGTTATAAAATTTTTAAATGGCTTTTCCAATTCTTTTAGCATATCTGATATATGGAAATACAATTGATTTTATCATTATGATGACCTTATATGTAGCAACCTTGCTAAACTTAAAATCATTGCTAATAATTTGTCTCTAGATTAATTTGCAATTTCTGTGTACATCATCCTGCTATCTGGGTTAATATTCCTGTTTCATCTTTGTTTCATTTCTGATCTGCAGGAGATTGGAGGTTTAACATTTCACTATTGAGAATGTTTTATGTACATTTTGGTAGATATTCTTTATCAGATTAGGAAGTTTGCCCTCTTTTCTTATCTTTTATGAGTTTTCTTGTCATGAATGTGTATACAATTTTTTCTTTACAATTCTCTGCATCTATTAGTATGATTGTATGCCTTGACCTCTCTTTTCCCACTAAATATACGTATTATCAGTATACACACATAGCTGGATTTAATTTGCTGCATTTTCTTTGGGACTTCTTCATTTATATTCATAAGAGATTTTTGGTTTGCAACGTTTCTTCCTCAAAATTTTCTTGTCAGATTTCTGATATCAAAATAATGCTGGCCTTATAAAATAGGTGAGAAACATGCTCTAACATGGGTTTATTTTTATTGTCTTCCCCTCTTCTTCTTGTGGCCACTTAGTTTTGTCTTTCAAATAACTAATATCTTTTGGTTAGATACCAATTATTATGTATGAAACAATGCAGTGTTTCAGATGATGTTTATCTTCTTCCAAAAATGGTTCATCTCTCTCCTACTGGGAAGTTAGAATGATGTAACACTCCTCTTTTGATTAAAATGTGTCCATTGACACAGACTAAAATTAACTTTAGGTATCAGCTTACCTCTCTGAGGTTCTTACAACTATAGAATCTTGAGATAATTTTTGTCTTAGCAGATTTACAATGCTTTCTAACACATAATTTCTGTATGTGTTCAGACTTGCTAGTTGGTATGCTACAAGATACCCTAGTTCACTCGAAGCCAGGACATATTAGTATTACATTTAAAAAATAATAAACAAAATTTGTATTTTGTTGGGGAAACAAAGCAGTGAGATAGGTAAGGCTGCAAATGCTAACGCCAATCTTTGGAGAAGAGAGAATTGATGCCTTTACTAAGAGGTGATGGGGCTTGCCTCAATGATGTAGATTTGGTACAAGGGTTAGGACTTCAAGTCCACTCTTTTTTTCAACAAAGAGCAAAATGAGGAGAGGCTTTTCTTTTAATCTTGGAGTCTGAGGGTAATAATTAAACATTTTTCCTCACATTTCTAAGTAAATGGGAAATAATGGACTCGGAATCAGAATGGGATTGTCTATCTCTCCCGTCCACTACATCGGATTTGGGAATGAGCATTCCTTCTTGCATGGGATATCCCAGTGTAGAAATCTGCAACACTGGATGGCTGATTCTACCTTCTTACCAATCAGATAAGTGATTTCTTCTACCAAAGGCTGGAGCCATTGAGCTAGGTGGAGATAATGGTCTAAAACAGGTGTTGGTAAACTTTTTCCATGGTGGCCCAGAGTATAAATATTTTAGACTTTGTGAGCCCAGGAGTGTCTGATGCTGTATTCAGATCTGCCAATGTAGCATGGAAGCAGTCATAGAGTGTATGTAAACAGATGAGAATGGCTGTATCCAAATATTTATGGAAACTGAAATTTAGTTTTCATATAATTTTCATGTGTCACAACATTGTATTCTTCCTTGATTTTTTCAATTTAAAATGTTTAGCTTATGGGCTATATAAAAACAGATGGTAGGCTGGATTTCTGAATGGGTTGTTATTTCTTGATGTCTAAGACAATCTGTCTAATGGAACACTTTGAAAAGATGTGAAATTGATTTGTGCTTTTTTTTTGGTCCTCTCTAAAGAACATTGGCCTGCACAGGGTCTCAAACATTTACCTTTACTTATTTCTAAAACTTGATAGTTTCAGCACTTATATTTAGATCATTGGTCCATTCAGGTAAATTTTACTTATGGTAAATGTAACAGTCATGCTTTCTTTTATTTCTTTATGAATATTCAAGAGTTAGAGAACATGTAATGAAAATATATTGGCTTTTGTATCTTTTTCTTTTGCTTTTATATCTTAAGGAAAGAATTTCCTATATTACTTATTTAAAAATATACAAGGGAAAAATTTTAAAAATAGAGTTAGACCTTCTATATGATAAACTTAGAGGATAGAATTTTCCCCCAACTTTTCATTAATTTTTTTTAAATCTAAAAACATTAGAAACATTGCATATATATGTAATATATGAATTTATATATATATATATCCTTTTATATCCATGTATCTATCCATCTCTTTCTCTGTGAACACCTCAATACTTCAGTAAGTATATCCCAATAATAACAATTTTTGTATACATATGAATAATAGCATTCACACTCAAGAGTTATCATTGATACAATAATATGATCTACTGTACAGCCTATATTTAAATTTTCTCAATTTTCCTAGAATATCCTGTTTTTTCTTTGCAATTCAGTGTCCAGTCTGAATTGCGCATAATTCGGTTATCTTTTCTTTTTGGTCTCCTGATATCAGATCCCTTTCCTCTGTTTGTTTTCTTTCAGTACATTGAACATCGTGACGAGTCCAGGCCAGTAGTCATGTAAAATATTCTTCAGGCTGGTTTTGTGCGATTGTTTTTTAGATATTAGATTCCAGTTATGATTTTGGCAAGAGAACTACATAGATGCTTTGTATGTCCCACTGAAAGTCATTGGTGATGTGGGGGCACATAATGTCATTTATCCCATTATTGGTTATGCTATGTTCCTCACACAATAAACTGGTATCTGCCAGATCTCTCCAATGCAAAAGTTCTGGTTTTTGCACTCGATTAATAAAAGTCTATGGCATACTAATTTAGGATTTCGTGGGTATCATGCTTACCAATCATTCACCCAACAGTTTTAACATTAATTGATAAAACTTGCCTGAAGTAATGATCCCAAGCTGAACTGTCACAAAGTGAGTTTTCTAATTTTATCATCTTTTCTGTGTTTCTAAGCTAGAATTAATCTGTAATGAAGTCTATCCCATATTTTTAAATTAAGATAAACGATCTGCATGGCAATAATAAACACTAATAGTTGTTACTGTACTTATTGTTATTATCACAGAATAACTCTGGAGTTATTTTTAATTAGGTCAGATGTCTTTTTACAAAAGCCCTATGAACAGACAACTCCAGACATTTCAAGCTCCAACAGAGACTTCCATTTTAAACCATAATCAACATATGAGATGAATGAAAATTGAAGTGATAAAATAAAGCAACTGGTGGGGCATACACTAGTGTCCACATATGGTGATAAACGAAATGGATTCAAAAGGTCTGGCACCATAGGACCGATGTAATCTATGTTTCAAATGCTATTGGAATCCACTTTAGCAACATCACTGCCACTAGTCTTAAACTTATCCTTGTTTATTAACTGTTCTGTCTGGCTCAAAATGCCACTGTCCTTCTTTGGACCTAGGATTCTTCATCTATAGATCAGAAGATTGGACTAAATGATTTGCAGCATTTCTTCTAGCTCCATGACTTCTTTATAACTCAGTTTATCTTTATCTGTTCTTTCCAGGGCATGACCATATTAACATCACTGACTTCTGTGCTGCACGATGACAAAGAATTCCCCAACCCAGAGGTGTTTGACCCTCGCCACTTCCTGGATGAGAGAGGCAACTTTAAGAAGAGCGATTATTTCATGGCTTTCTCAGCAGGTAATAAAAATTTATTTACTTCAGTACTTCAGAATACAAGATATTTTTATGTAATCAGTTGGAAATTACATAGTACCCACACTGGGGTTGGTGGAATTGCACTTTGTTCATGATCAGGAGCACTAATCCCAATGCCCATGCACTTTCCCTCATCATGCTATGTCTTCATTATTGGGCCAGATCTTGGAGCTTTGAAGAGTTGACTCAGTTCTTCCAAATTCAGAAAATAAATTTGAGCTAGGTTCTGAAAAATATAAGAGAAGCGTAGCTTAGCCAAAAGGAGTAGTGTGACATAAAACTTGAATCTTCATGATGTGTTGGAGGTAGATGAAGATTAGGTACACTTAGAGCAGGGAACAGAGGCTGTGAAGAATGGAAAGAAACATCATGGGACATATGACAAGGAACAGAAAGCGCAACCAATGTATGTGTGCTGCTAGAGAAAGCTTGATGGAAACTTGAAATATCAAAAGAGCAGTTATAATATGAGAATATTAATGGAATGCTTGACATAGTACTGATGCTCAAGAAATATTTGTTGAAAGAAGGATACCTGGTAAAATAAAATATTAGGCGTGTAGCATGTATGTCCGTTCTTTGTCCATCTGTTTATCCAACCATCCTGCTTTCCATCCATCCATTCAATCATTTATAAAATAGTTGCTGCATATTCTCTTTCTGAAAGTCAGAAACATAATTTTCAAAGAGTATCTACTCTCTATGGTTATTTTCAGGAAAACGGATGTGTGCAGGAGAAGGCCTGGCCCGCATGGAGCTGTTTTTATTCCTGACCGCCATTTTACAGAAATTTACCCTGAAATCTGTGGTTGATCCAAAGGACATTGACACCACCCCGATTACCAATGGGTTTGCTTCTGTGCCGCCGTCTTACCAGCTCTGCTTCATTCCCATGTGAGAACCTCAGAACATCTGACTTTTCCTGTGATGTTGTCTCCAACTCCCTCTCACTTGGGGCTTCATTCACATACTTCCTTCTTCACCCTCTTCCTGGTAATGCCTTCTCTGACCTCTTCTCTCCTCATCACCTCATTCTCTCAAGTTCCAGGAACATGCAACCTCCATGAAAGGGAATTTCCTGAGTTTCACTGCATATTATTCAACTCTGTATCTGCTATTTTCCATACTCTGTAACATTCATATTGGCCATCATATATGCTAATACTTATATAATATTGAGTAGTGTTATATAGTCAATATGAAATAAAGCAAGATGATTAGTGTATACCAATGCAGATCCACTTCCCCTCTGCATTTTCTAAATAAAAAGTATGATTTGATGAGCCAGTTTTCAGACTTTCCTTTGTATGTGCAAATGCAGTATGAAATGAAAGCAAATAATCTGAAGAGGTCATGCTGATCCTGATAATGATAAGCACAGAGAAGGACAAAGGAGATAAGAGTGTTAAAGGTCTCTTGGCTGCATGTCACCTAGAGTTACTTGAGGTTTGGATTTGAAAGTGAGAGAACTTGTGTTCAGAAGCACCATTATCCTTTACGGAAATATTGAGATCTGCAATAGTGAGGAACTAAATCCAAAGCAAGCCACAGCAATTTACAAATAAAAATCAGAGCAGAAATCAATGAAATTGTAAACAGGAAATCAATAGAAAAAAATCAATGAAACCAAAGCTGTTTTTTGAAAAATTAATAGAACTGATAAACCCACAGTCAGGCTACCCCCCCCCCCCAAAAAAGAGAGATGACACAAATTACTGATGTCAGAATGAAAAGAGAGGCCATCACTTTCATGCCATGGACATTAAAATCATAACAAAGGAATATTATAAACAAGTCTATGCCCACAAATTTGATAGATGAAATGAGTCAATTCCTTAAGTATGCAATCTGTCAAAACACACAAGAAGGAATAACATAAGAAACAGAGCATAATAGAAAGCCCTGGACTTTCCTACCCCCAATGGATACACTGATTCACAGCAACACATAAATCAATTCCCTTTGTAAAAAGTCCATAAACTAGTTGAAAGACTGCTGTACCCTGACTGAATGAGAATCCAGCCACATAAAAGCCAGAAATAAGTGCAGATACACACTCTGGCCATAAATACCAACCCTGGGAAACTGCTATATAATTGATCAGGAAGACCCCAGCTCCCTGAGGAGCAAAGGAGTTGGAATGCTCATCGGGCATTCCAAACTTTCAAAACTGTTTTGGGGAGTTGCATGAGGAACTGGCTTCTGTCTTGCTTGTCTTGGAGCACTGACAGGACTCAGCATACTCTAGATGCCTGGGGGCTGCTAAAACAAAGAAAGCAGGCTGGAATAGAACGTAAGTTTGAGAGACCTACAGAATCTTTGGATGGGCTGATGAAGATTTTTGCTGCACAAGACAAGTCAGTGAAGACTAGGAGAGGTGACCAGTTTGTCTAATGTGCAGACAGCAATGTGGAGAATACAGAAAAATGAAGAAGCAGGAGATATATGATTTTATTGAAAGATAATTCAAAATAACAGTCATAAAGGTGATCACTGAGGTCAGGAGAACAATAACTAAACAAAGTAGGAATTTCAGCAAAAAGATAGACAATGTAACAATACCAAACAGAAATCATATAGCTGAAGAATACAATAACTGAACTGAAAAAGTCATTAGATGGTTCAACAGGAGAATACATCAAAGAGAAGAAAGGATCATTGAACTCAAAGGTAGGTCATTGTAAATTATTCAATCAGAGGAGCAAAAAGAAAAAAAAAGGAAAAAGAAAAGAAAGCTTAAGGTACTTATGGAACAGCATCATGTGGACCAATATATGCATTATAGAAGTCCTAGAAGGAGAAGAAAGAAAGAGAAAGGTCTAGAAAGCTTATTCAAAGTAACAATGGCAGAAAACTTCCCAAATATGGAAGGAAGTGGACATATAGACCCAGGAAGTATAAAGAGCCTCAAATAATTTAAAAAATCAAAGAAATCCACACTGAGCCACACTATAATCAAATTATGAAAAGTCAATGACAATGAGAAAATTTTGAAAGCAGCAAGAGAAAGCAACTTGTCACATACAAGAGAACCCCCATAAGACCATCAGCAGATTTTTAAGTAGAAATCTTGCAGGAGAGAAAATGGGATCATATATTTAAAGTTCTGAAAGAAAAACACCAACCAAGAATCTATACATAGAAAAACTGTCCTTCAAAAACGAAGGAGAGATAAAACTTTCCCAAACAAACAAGACTGAGAACGTTCATCACCATTCAAACTGCCTTATAAGAAAAGCTAAAAGAAATTCTTAAACTTGAAATGAAAGGACCATAAACAGCAACATTATAGTATAAGAATGTATAAAACCCCTTGGTAAAGGCAGATATAGAGAAAGATACAGAATACTATATTGCTGTGATGGTGGTAGGAAAATGACTTTTTTTAGCATAAAAGTTAAAAGATAAAATATTAAAAATAATTATAATTAAAAAATGTTAATGGATACACAATGTAAATATCGTGAATTGTGACATTAATAACATAAAATGGGGGAATAAAAGTGTATAGATTTGTATGTAATTGAAGTTAAGTTGTTATAAGCTTAAAATAGACTGTTATAATTGTAAGATATTTTCTGTAAGCCCCATGGTAACCACAAAGAAAACCTTAGATGTTACACAAAAGAAAAAGATAATGGAATCAAAGTATATAAAAAGAATGAAACACAAAGTAAGACAATAGAATAAGAAAACAGGAGCAAAGATCTACAAGACAAAACAGAAAACAATAAAATGACAATAGTAAGAAGTCATTCCCTATCAACAATTACTTTAAGTGTAAATGGATTAAGCTCCCCAACCCAAGACATAGAGTTGCTGAATGGATTAAAAAAACCAGATTCAACTATGTACTGCCCTCTAACAAATTAGGAAGATTGAATCATACCAAATATCTTTTCTGTCTATATTGGAATGAAACTTGAAATCAACAGTAGAAGGAAAAGTGGAAATTCTCAAATACATGGAAATTAAACAACACACTTCTGAACAACCACTGAGTCGAAGAGGAAATCAAAGGGAAATTAGAAAATATCTTGAAAGAAATGATAATGGAAAAACATCATACTGTAAATTATGGGGTGCAGTTACAGTTTTATAGCAATAAGAGGAAGTTTCATAGCAATAAATAGCTACAATATAAAAGAGAAAGATCTCAAACAGTCTAACTTTACACTCAGTAAATCAGAAAAAATATCAAACTAAACTCAAAGTTAGCAGAAGGGAGGAAATAATAAAGATTAGAGGAGAAATAAATGAAATAGAGAATAGAAAAGAAATTAAAAAACTGAGAAAGTAAGAGTTGGTATTTTGAAAAAAATAAACAAGACTGATATATCTTTAGCTAGACTAAGAAAAAAACAACGGAATCAAATAAATAAAATCAGAAATTAAAGAGTAGCCATACAACTGTCCCCACCAAATAAAAAAGATCATAAGAGACTACTATGAACAATTATATGCCAACATAGTGGGTAACCTAAAAGAAATGTATTGATTTATAGACACATACAACCTATGAATACTGAATAATGAAGAAACAGAAAGTCAGAACAGCTTTAAAATGAGGAAGGAGATTATCAGTAATCAAAAACCTCCCAAGAGTTTCAGTTCAAGATGTCAACGTAGGAAGATCCTGAACTCACCTCCTCTCATGGACACACTGAATCTACAGCTACATGCAGAACAATTTCCTCTGAAAAATCCCCAAACCTAGCTAAGCCACCACTACCAAACAGCTAAAAGAGAAAAAAATCCACATCAAAGTGGGTAGGAGAGGCTGAGACACAATGTCACCATAAACCCCACCCTCAATGCAGTAACTGACAATCGAGAGAGAACTCAAAACCTGGATCTTCTCTCTGAGGAGATCTGAGGAAATAAGTATCTTGAAGTACAGCATAGGCACCCCAGGGGTCAGCTCCGGGGCATAGTGGTTAAGTTCACATGCTCTGCTTTGGTGCCTGGAGTTCTCAGGTTCGGATCCTGGGTGCGGACCTACGCATCTCTCATCAAGCCATGCTGTGGCAGTATCCCACATACAAAATAGAGGAAGATGGGCACAGAAGGTAGCTCAGGACCAATCTTCCTCACCAAAAGATTTAAAAAAATAAAAAAAAGAAAGAATAGGCCCTCCAGAGGCTCACATCCCAATTAGTGAAGAAGAGTAAATAGACCATTGTAATCCAGTACAACTGGTGCTTTGAGAGAGGGAAAAACAGGCTGCTCAGGGGACAGGAGGTTAAAACTCCCTCCTTATTGATTATTCCTATCTCATCGTGAGGCATAAAATGGAATAAGAAACATCTTAATGAGACAAATAATATTTGAGCTCCCTCACATGGGGCAGAGAGAAAGGACAGTCGAGAAGGAAGGACATTTTTAAGGAGGTAATGGACAACAGGAGTAGGACATTTGCTCTAGATCAAGGAGGAAGAACTTCCTGCCAACTAAATATAGCACCAGGGAAATATTGCGTATATTGTAGGATACTTAATATATGGTAATTCTAGAACACCTTGATGTCATCTGCAATTCCCTCTTCTCTGGAGGCATAGTTCACCTCCTTCCCACTTCATCCCCTTCCAAGGAATGCCTTCTCTGACCTCTCCTGTCACATCTCCCCATTCCATTAATATCCAGTGAACATCCATTAAAGAGAGTTTCCTGATTTTCAATGCACAGATTTATCTGCTATTTTCTATACTCTGCTACTGCTTTCCATATTCATATCCTCACCTGTAAAATGGGTATGATAATCCCTGACTATAATGTTCAAATGAACCAGTGAATGAGAAAGACATATAAATATTAACACAAGAGTCTCTTGGGTATTTGTTTGTCTGTATAGTTATGTCTGTGTCTTGTAGTGTGTGTGTGTGTGTGTGTGTGTGTGTGAGAGAGAGAGAGAGAGAGAGAGAGAGAGAGAAAGATGGAAGAGTAGTAATAAGGAAAGAGATTCCAGGACACAACTGGAGGAACCAGGGAAATACTGAGACTAAAGTTGATGAGAACAGTATACTGGCTTGCCTTCTTATGTGTCAATAAAATTTTCCCTTCCAAGCATCTACCTCCTATAATTCCTTATTTTGGATAATTTTATTTGGTATTCTACTCCTTGGTTGAAATGCTTTTTAGGAGTAGAGAGAGAAGGAAGCAAATTCAGCAACTTTTCTGTCATGACAACTGTGGAATAGAAAAAGAAGAACAAACAACGCACAAAGTCAGCAGAAGGAGGGAAATAATAAAAATTAGAGCAGAAATAAATTAAATTGAACCCCCC